GGGGGGGGGGGGGGGGAGAGAGAGACATACATTATGTCTAGTGGCTAAGTTATTGACTTTGATAAAGGCTTCTTGACCAAACTGGCTCCACATCCACGGTGTGTCATTACAACAGCAGATTGATGAATATCTCAGTGTCTCAATGTGCATTTTATTTATTTATTTTTTGTTTGTTTTTTTTGCCAACTGTAAACTGTATATATATATATAATATATTTATAACTAATATAAAATATAAATATAATTTTTGTACAGTTTACATCTACTTGACAGGAGCATGTTAAACCCACCAGAATGTTCTGGACTTTGCTTCATCACACATGACAATATACAAACTGCAATGAAATTGTATATTCGTATATTATTGGGCATCACGTCAAACAAGTTCCCATTAGTTTCACTGGCTGCAGTCCAACAGCAGCAGCAGTAGAAATCAATCAGCCTATCAATTCTCCTCCACCAGACTCTTACTGCCAGCTATTTCCAATCACCTTATTCACCAATTCAGCAGCCACCAGTAAATTGTAGCTAAGTGTGAACCACGAGCCAGTGTGGCCCAATCAGAACAGCAGTGACAAAATAATCTCACAAAAAAAATCAAAGAGAAAAAAATATTGGACGACAGTTCACTATATCTTCATTTCGCTGCTGCAGCTACAGCGGCCGTATCGATTTGTGTGTTGACAGGCATCGCTGCACAGCCCGTCCAGGCATGAAAACGGAGGCGCTTACAGGAGAATAAACAGTGATAATCCATGTTTAAGCAGCTTAATATGAGGTGCTATACTCCCGGTGATTAATGTGTCTGAAAGGGCTCATCTCTGGGTCTCATTCGTCAAAGCACAGCACATTTTTCTAGGGGAAGCAGGTTAACAAATTCTCTCAAACGCTAATAGAAATGATGGGGCCAAAACAGCAACAGTCAAAGCCCTGGGCGGTGTCTGTGAAGGGCATACTGGGTTTTTTATCTGCAGCCTCTGACTACCTGCAAAATGTCTCTGTGATCAGAGGTAGTATAATATAGATGTTAGTCACCTCCTGAAGAATCATACAATCAGAACCCTGATAGAGATGAATAAGAGTTAGAAAACAAAGAGAGCATGCGTTTGTGGATCCTACAGCTGTGGATCGATCTGGAAGTTAACAACAGAGAATGACTTTGGACAGTGATGCAGTACCTCTGTGGGTTGGGCTCGTTGTGTTTGTCTCTCTCGTGTTTAATCATTCTGTAGCGGCCGATGCGGACGTCTGGTCTGGACACCTTCATTCCGTTCAGAGTGATCCTGCAGCACACACAGACAGAATTTTAAAAGGTAGACCTGAAGCCCTCCGAGGAGCAAAATATGAAAAAAAAAAAAATAGAGAAAAGAAGAACATAAAGGATCCTGGGCTGTATCAGCTGTGACCAGCTGTGATTCCCCCACCACTGCACCCTGACACATCAACGTGTCATGGGAGAATATCAGGTACGCTGGGAAAAATGATCAAATTTTCCATAATTGGTCTGACAATTTAATTATTGCTAATAATTTATTTTTGTACAACATTGACAGGCAGAACAATGAAATACTATTCCACTAGGAGGCAGCAGACTGGTATAGAAATGAAATTAAAAAAGAGACTGAGCCATAGCTGTTTTTTGTCTTTGTGTGCTTCTTTCTTCAATTCCCATGACTATGGCAGCATTATGTTCACCTAAATGCACCCCTGTCACTAGAAAATCACTATGTTTCCTTACATATATATTTTTGGGACATTCTCTACAGTGGTGCATTGTGGGGGTTTTCTCATCTAAAAGGTTGGGAAACACTGCATTAGACCACAGTCGAAGAGTGGTTAGAGCCCACGCCTTTGAGCAAGGAGATCATTGGTTGAACTCTCAGTGGTAACTGTTAGTTGTCCTTTATGGAGTCTGCAATGTGTGTAGACAGCAAAAACAGTCAATAACGTCTTCTCCAGACATCATCTAAAGAAAGCTCAGACCCCTGGAAACTTCTGGAGCCGTTTGCCCCTTAAGAAACACAGGCAGTGTTTGTCATCCGTCTCCCACTGCTTTCAACCTTAAAACTTTAATTCGGAGAAGAGACGGCTAAAGAAGCCATTATATCCAGTTTCCAAGAGAGCGGCTGCAGACGCTTGGTCAGCCCTGGGAGTTTTAGCAAGGAGGACAACATTGACGTTCCAGTTCAACTAATTAATCTTTGACCTGAAACAGCCCGGCCACATTGTGCCTTAAAGTTATGTGATTCTGGGTGTGGAGCCCAGAGGGAGCTGAAAATGTACTGTAGGAATAAATTAGAACGGACGAGGCTGTGAGGCTGGATATTCACTGAACTGATTGTTTACACTCTGTACACCATGTTAAAAACTAATGCTGGGGTTGTTTTAATGAGAATTATTTATATTTAATTTTTCTAGCATCATCCAAACTACATGCTTTGTAGTAATATATTGTACTTCTTAAATGTTGTTCTGCACCCTGAGGAAACTGCTGATTCATTCTTCTTCCAGACAGACACCACTACATTACACAGTGGGTTTGCCATAGTTTCACAGGTTGCACCTCAGAGACAATCAATCCAGGAACTGGGCTAGACAGTTACGAATGTGTACATTCAAATCATGTGGAAGTAAGATATTGAAAACAAAACCAAACAGTGGCTAAAGTGGTTAGCGCTCTTCCATTACAGCCGGTAGAGCACAGGTTGATTGGTGTGCGAGTGTGAATTGTTATTGTCTTTATATATGGCCTGTGGCAGACTGGCAATCTGTCTAGTCCAACACAGGCCCCTCGCCCCACGATGCTGGACTTGGCTGCAGTCCCACCTGCACCTTGGAATGGTCTGAGGTCGGGGAAGATGAATGAATACACAGAACTCCTCTGATCTACAACTCTGACCAGATGCTTTTTTAAAAAACAGTTCAACAGTATAGAATAGAATAGCCTTTATAGGACTTTGTGTTGCTATGGTTATGTTGTATTATTCACCAGATCAAAAACAAAGAGCTAATCTGCAGAGATTTGAGTCTAATGCAACAACAAATGAATACAGACAACATGGATAACAGACATATCCAATGTAAAGTCTACCTTAGAACACAAAGGATTGCACAGGCATTGATATTCATACCTGCAAGTGTGTATTACTGTGTATGTTTGCCTCATTTGCTGCCTGTTTTTCGCTTTGATTTTGTGCAATCCCCACGCCTCACAAAGTATTCATGGCTAATATTACACCTCAGTAACTTCAAGTCCTCTCCACAGTAAAACTGCGTCCTTCCTCTCACCTTTTTTTTATCATATTGTTGTTACGACTCCTCACGTTTATTTTTCCAACACCAATCATAAAACACTTCTCTGTCCAGCTCACTGTCTAAGCTATTACTCCTGCTGATTATCTGCAAATCTATGGCATGCTGGCCATGCTCTGTAGTGTACAACAAAGGCTGAAGCCATAGTGAAGAAAAATGTAACAATAATAAACTAAATATATAACATACTTGTAACATAACCAACTCAAAATTCCTGAAAACTTCACCTTTAACTTTCTAGACTGTAGAAAAATGGGTCAAGTATAATGTTTAATTAATGGGTTTCCTCCTTAGATTTGGTTTGGACAGAGACACCTATGCACCAGTGGTCTCCTCCTGTCTGTATTATTTATGATAAACCAGGCTGAACTGAATTATGGATCATACTGCAGCGTGTTGTCCTTTGTATTCTGCTTTTCAGCGCCACCATTTTCTGTGTGGTAGGGAGAGGTTTTTTCACGTCATCCCTTCCACTCCTGTTCACATCTCCACTGCTTAGTTCGACTTCCTTTCCTTCCTCGACTGGCCGCTCTTAAACTCAGCAGCCCATGAGAGAGGAGAAACTCTAACTGCAACAAAACAACCTTCTCATAAATAAATTCAGTGAGAAACCCAATTTCAAACACTCCACTAACTTAGCTCCACGGTTCTGTCTAATGTCTTAGTTCACTCTGCTGACTTGGCATGTACTGTACTGTACTGCACGTATTTATGAGTTTGTTTGTTTGTGTGTGTGTGTGTGTGTGTGAGCAAGCATGCATTTCCATAATGCAAAGATTTACAGTGCTGCAAATAACGTGAGAGTGAAACCAGAATTTCATTCCCTGGTTTCTTACTGAGCTTAGTGATGCATTATGAGCTGGTTTTCAATTTTGTAGTTTTTTTTTTAATACTACATTGTTTTTGGCCCTTACTCTGCTGACATACAGTATTTACTGTGTAGGTGTGTGGGAAGGTACAGTATGTGTGTGACTTTTGTTTTCTTTACCCTGACTGTTTGGTGACTTGAGATGAGATGACATCAGCCTCTTTGAAGGAAACATCATTTTCTTATGCATAATTAAAAACAGTGCATTAATGTATAAGTAAATAGTTTAAAATATGCAGCCACAACATCCTAAAGAGGTCATAAAAATAAGCCATCTGATTTAGAGACATTCATATGTGTGTGTCATTTCTGAAACATTTTAGATACTAAATACTTTTTTGCATTAAGTACCAAAAATGAGGTACACAGACTAGCATTAGCATTAGCTCTATCTGTGTAATATTACATGAAGTGGTTTTTGAAATAAGGTGGCTGAAAACTGAAGAGACTCAGCAGGATGGGGTCTGGATGTTGTCACCACTCCTTTATTTTGAAGTTCTCACCTCATGCCAATCTCTCTGCCTTTCTCAAAAGTCTATCAGCGCCTTCTTTATGATGAGTGATCATCATATTTTTACACTTAAAAATAGAAGTTGGTGCTTAAAACTGCCTAAGAGGATCATCCACTTAAGCTGCAATCTTGGAGGATGTGTGTATGTGTGTGAGCCTGTGTGTATTCCTACACACAAGCTCACACAATTAGTTTTGTTAGAGATCCAGACTGGATTTAACCCAATGAATGAGTCGTCTTCAACCAAAACAAATCAATGTTTAAGATTTGACACCAGAACAGATCGCACTGAAACAGCACTGAAGCCAACTCACTGTGAGACACCAAGGCTGCACACTGACTCTTCTCCTCCCACCGCTCTGACAGCAGCATGCTCAAAAATAGTGTGACAGCACAGTGTGAATATTATGTTAAAGGAAGGACACGGAGGACAGTGGAGGTGCCGGTTTCCACTGTTCCCCCTGTGGGATGTATATAATGTGGAGCCGACAGTTTCATATCTGGAGAGAAACTGTGGGTGGAACTGTAAAAGTCAGGAGTCCAATGAGAAATGTTATAATAATCAGGTACAAGGACAAACGAAGACAGAAAATGATAAGAGTGTCTTAAAAAGACTGGACACCACGGCCCAAACGTTGATGTTGTTAGGAGAACATCTGAGTGTAATGTTCCACTGCAGCAGATGTTAGTGTTCAACTTAGTCTTGCATGTCTGTCCAACAGACTGTATCAGAGAAATCCACAAAGCCATCTGGCTGCAAAATTAAGTCCTGTTTTAAACCTCAAGTTGGGACCTGAAAACGGCACGATGCTTTGGCAACGAAACAATCACAGAAGTTTCTGGTAACTCTCTTTGGACTGTCAACCAGACATCTGCTAGAGCGCAACCAACGGAGTGAACGATGTGGGTCGATGCTTGTCTCTTTACCTCATAACGATGAACAGCACGTGACAACCGTAAGAAAATGGAGCTATCACATTTGTGGTATTACTATCCTGGAATTCCAGCATATATAATATTTTTAACTCAGTGAACTGAAAAAAAAAATAAAAAAAGGATCCATTATAATGTTGAATTATTCAGTTCTTGATAAGTGGAGGTAGATTTTAATCTGACCTTAGGACAAAGACAACTCTGCAGTAGCTGCTGCCTGTATAATACAAATGTGATTCTCAGAAAAATCTTGTTGTATATGAGTGGAATTGGAAATTAAGTAGTTTTATGTGGTTGAAAATGCTACGAACGTTCACACTAAAATTCAACCTCTGACACAATCATTTCTTTTGTTCTTAACAAGGCTCTGTGGCGCAATGGACAGACCATTTTTATTTTTGACCTCACAAGGATAAACAGGACTTAACTAATGCTACAGTGCATGGTAAGTGACCACATTAATATATATATTTACTTATATATATGTATAAATAATTTTGTTTAAGACAATGTAGCTATTGTCCTTGTAATATTACTTTCCTAAAATCCTTGCATTCATTATTATAGCAATATACAGTGCAACCTTCAACTTGCTTTAATGCTTTAATTATGTCTCCAGTTTCATTGAAAGTTTACGTAGTAATTTGATGTTTCTTTTAAAAAAAAAAAAGCGAAAAATAGTGGATATTCTAGTAACTTTAGCTTTAATTGGGACAATCACAAAATGATGAATATAGCAAATCCCCTAGTGTCTATTAACACACTGTGGACATGTACTGTCTTGGAATCTCTTCTTACTCATATTTAGGCAGGGATGGCTGAAAGAGAGATGATACAAAAGTGACAACAAAAATGGTGTAAACGTGGCGTCATTTCAATGTGAAACATACTGTGGATTTGTGGAGAGTAAAATCCTAACAGTTACTGTTTCTTAACACAGCCGTTTCATCAGATTGGACTGTAACCCTGGTTATTAGTGGATTTAAAGGCAGCTCCGAGCCAAACCATAAAACATTATTACCTATGTAACTAACAGAAACAGCGCCGTCCCTTAAAAAACATGCTCCCATCTCATCTGCAGCCCCAGGCAGTGGGAGAGTGTGTGTGTGTCCACGCCACTGTCCACACTGTGGCAGTAATTGCACACACGAGATAAACACACACACACACACACACAGAAAAAGCCGGGATCTATTTAATTGGATTAATCAGAGTTTGGCTCACTTTCCACTCGGGTTTTCACTTGAGTTAATTGCATTAGTGCATCAGAGTGAAAGAGGAGTGGGAGCTGCATCTGATGTCCACGTCTCACTGCTGTAGTTCTACAGAAATAAGGAGAGTATATGGTAGTGAGGGCTGGAAGATGAACAGAAGAGATACTGACACAAACAAAAGGAAGGGGATGGAATGTAAACAACAGAAGAGTAAATGATTTTTTTTTAATTTAATGAGAATATTTTAGCAGGTTATAACTGAGATTCATTATGAATATTATGAACTATGGTCAGATGGATAGATAGATAGAGAAACAGACAAACAGGATTTGCCTCTCGATCAGTTTCTGCTTCACTGCATGTAGGGTTTCCACAGCAGATGCTGACGCTGCCTCTTCTGTCAAACCTCTCCTTCCTCTTATTGCTTCATTTCTCTCACGACTCCTTTAACCTCCGCTCCCTCCTTCTGTAAAACCACTCCCTGACTTTTCTAATCCTTTTGTTGAGCTGGTTATCCTCTTTGTTTAAAGAAGAAAAAAATATCCATCTTTGTATTTCTGAGAAATCATATCGTAGTATGGAGCTACAGTTACAAGAGATGCTAATTGAAAAAAAATTGAGAGCTGCTGTAGCTTTCACTGCTGGGTGTTAGATGAATGGATCTGACCACATAATCAAAGCCTAACAATATGTTATATTTAATATATAGAAAATGAGTATATTTTTAAAAAGTATATTTTATGTTTACAGATGCCGTTACTAAGTTTTTGAAGAAGAGTGCACAACACACACAACGTACTTTTCTAAGAAGGCAAAAAGAAAGTCAGAAAAAAAAAGCCTTGTTCGGCTTTTGATAAACTCTCTTATATACCATAGAGAGAGGAGATATAGGCAGAGATGCATGATGGGTAAGTGGCACTGAGAGTGATTTTTATGGCATGAGGCCCCTCGACTACAGGCTCAGACTTCTCTCTTGAAAGAGTAACATCCCCAGGGCTGGCATTAAGTTAACAGGAACAATTCCAAGCAGCGGCCGTGTCACAGTCTGTGGCATCAAAACCCAGGATGGAAATATAAATTGCTGGAGGGAATAAGAAGTGGGAAGCACACAAATGCACGGATGGAGTTGCAGGGCGAGGGAGAAGTAAGTAAGAAATGGTAGTCGTTGGTGCTTTTTTTAGGAACTGCCGTTAGAAAATAGAGCAGATAAAGGTTTAGTGTCGACCTCGACGGGAGACCAGGCTGATGTTAGAGCAGAGCAAAAACACGGGGCACATTTCATGGGTGCCAAACAGTCTGATGTTCACTGCTGCTCTTTATCTCATCGGCCTCCTTTACCACACTTCTCCCTCTTCTCACATTTCATCCAGTCCTGAGAGGCTGAGCCGACCGGCCTGTTAGTTCAGTCATGTGGAGAAACCGGGGCCCTCTCTGCCCACTGCTGCAGCCTGGACTGTCAAAGCCTTTCAGCTTCAGATCACAGGGAAATGTCAGCACACTAAGTTTCGGTTATTAGCAAATGCTCATCATTTGCCTGGTGGGCTAGAATTTTATTGTTTATGAGGGAGACTGGGCCGGCAGTACAGTGGAAGGTTGGGCTGCCTCTGCCAAGGAGGTCGGGGTTCCAGTGCAGCTTCAGAGGGAAGCTGAGCATCAGAGTGAAACTGTTACACGCTCAGCTTTATTTTCTTGTTTCCGTCAGCATTTTCTCCCAGGTCTTTTCCTGATCTCTCTCTATTAGATTGACTTTGGGACTTTGGATTGTCTCACTGCACATTTGCAAAACAAAACACTGTAAAAAAAAAGGTCCAAATGTTTAATTGTGCAAATGTTGTGCTCGCCCTCTATATTGAGAGCCACTGGTGTAAGGCATTCAATAGCACTACAAACATTTTAGCAACATTAACATGGCGTGGCATTGTTGTGCACAGTCTTTGTTTCAAAGAATCAGATATTGTTGTGGAAGAGCGCAGATAAGAGTGTGACATGAACAAAGGATGGGTTGTCTTTGTCTCTCTGTGTTGTTGTATCTATGTTTATAATTAATCTTCTCGTTACTCGGTCTCTCTTTCTCTCTCTGTCCCTTGAAATTGATTTAAAAAGAAACAAACAACAGCTTCAACTGTGAAAGTCTGGATGTACAACAACTGTGCTGCGGCAACGTCGTTGTTTTACCTGGGCTAGAGGAGGTGTGTGTGTGTGTGTGTGTGGGGGGGGGCTCATTGTCGTCGACTCATCTGTGTCACACTGTGTTCAATCATTTTTACTGCTACATGGTCAATACATCCTCAACACCCTCTTCTTTTTCTCTTCCTGCCTTTTAAACCGTGTACAAGCAGAAGCTGAATCCATTTCTGATGATTTTCTTACCTTTGGTTGCCTTGCAAAGTTCACACTACTGTCATATTTTCACCACGTTTTTTTTCAAAGACATCTTTTCAGCAGATCCTTTTTTTTTATTAAAGAAAAGGGAGAATTAAGGGAGCAGAAATTGTGTTTTCTTACCATGTTGAAATATTAAAGTTATCTTAACTTGGGAAATCAAGTGCAACTACTGTTTCCCAATTACCATCTGAAATAAGGATGTGAGAGAATTTTAATGTGTGGTTTTCATTAGATAGAAACATGTTTTTGATCATATTCCAATGTGACACAAACAACCAGCGATTCTCTTGAAAGAAACTTTATAAAGTTGTTTGGACTCTCTAACCCCTGCGCCATGCTGAGGGAGGAACAAGAAGACGCCCTCTGCTGGTTGGGGAACATTCATTTCCTTTTAAAAGGAGTTGGTGAATGTGACTATTTTAGGGGATTGTCTTGGTGTAAACAATTAGGACAAACTGTCTAACATTAATTACTACATGTTGAAGATGCTGTGACTATGACTGGACTTCATTTTAGCAGTTTAAGAAATGTAAACCATTATATTCATCACCAAAACTGTTTCAATAAAAATATAAACCTGGAAAAAAATCTAAAATGATTCAAAATAAATATTTAATTCACTCATTTCTGGCTGAATAGTTGAAATATTTTTTTGACATTTACTTTGCCAGCTATGCATAAAAAATGCTGTTTTTTACAGTGCGTGTTCAAACCCACCTGTTGTAAATGTCATCGTCCTCTCCGCCCCAGCCCCAGTACTCGTTGGGAAAGCCGTTGATCTTCAGAAACTGTTTTTTACTGAGGCCTGAAACTCCTCCAAAGTAGCCAGCATATGGCAGCCTGTAAGACAGATCAGTGGGATTATTAAACACATCAGGTAGAAATGAGTAACATTTTGCTGATAATAACATTTACACTGGTTTCCATTGAATCGGAGCTCGATCTATGCTGGGTTTTAACCTGATAATAACATACGCGATGGTTTACAAGTATATTTATTTCTTATATATATATACACGTATATATATATATATAGAGATACATGTATATATATCTTATATATTTATTTATATCTAGATTAAAGAGATTAAATAGATTAAAATTAAATAAAAAAACATAGTGAGCCAGTGGATGTAAAACTTGAGTCACGTTAACAGTTAGGTCGAGTTCTACCTGCAGCCAGTCTCCATTTGAAAACGATAACTAAAACACGCACATGGAGATTTGGAGTCTAAAAAAAGCAGTGTAAAACTTTTCCCCAGATTTAACTCGAAAATTTTTTCCCATAAAATCTCTGATGCCAAATTTAATTGCCTACGTTATTCTCGGTGGACAGGTTGAAGAAACAACCAATTAAGAGACTACAGAGGAGAATAAATGAGGAAAAGAGGACACAAGGCAGACGGATCAGAGGAAAAGAAAATACACATAGGAATACGTGGGGAGGGAATCATTTGAAAAATAGCTGAACTGAAAATTAATGTACATGAAGACAACGTCGTAATGAACTGAAATGGGGCCAGTGTCCTGGAAGTTGTTGAAACGCTGTGCTTTAATGAATATACTCTAAAACAAAAGTATGAAGTGTAGCTGCAGTGCTTGGTAATCCACGGATGTACGGCACTTATACGTGTCTCCAGAGCCACACGTGGCTCTTTACTCTCTTAGCATTGGCTCTTTGCGAAGAGGACATGGCTGAGAAGTTTTATGTTTGGACTAATTTTACATGACAAACTGAGTGGCTAGCTTCCATGCTAAAAGCCAAATAACATATGTATCCCTCGACATAAACCTGGCTATAGTACTCACAATTATATAAACTGCATGATTTGCATCATTTTAAATATCCAGAACATTCGTGCTGCTCTTGGTGATGAATTAATAAAACTGACTCTGTGTGTGTTTAAGTTTGCAGATCCCTGCCCCAGGCCGCAGGCATAATGTTATTTGTTAGATAAGTATGTTTACTCCTAATCCCTACCTAACTCTAACCTGACCTTAATTCTAATCCTAACTCCACTGTAAATCTATGCCTTTTTGGCCTCTCACTGGGACTGGATGAAGCTTTTCACACATTTAGCTCTGATGTTGAAGGAAGCTGTGTTGCAAAATGACCATATCCATTGGCTTTAGCTTTAGCTGTGCTGTGGTATGGAGTAAGTGTGACCTCCAAGTGTTTTCAGTAGAATAATTCTACAGGGACTGACAGCATTTGGATGAGTGGGTCACATTCACGGGCCACATTGAGGCCATTAATCACTGTGTCCAGAGTTTTTACATAATTGGGGGTAGCAGCGGTGGCAAAATGTGAAAGTCACAACCAAAACAGGATTCGCCCACTCAGCCAAAGACTGGTTTCCTATAAATTGATCATATTCTGTTACTAAATCTAAACTTGAATTAATCACCCTAAGGTCAGAGCACAGGAATAAACTTGAATTAATCACCCTAAGGTCAGCGCACAGTTTCACCTGTTCCAATAATCACTCTGTCAGGTCTTGTGTGTACCGTGCAATTGTTATACATTTAAGAAATAACTCAAGTGAGAGAGTAAATAATGGATAATACTGATAATATAATAAACTGGTGATATTTCTCATTTTTAGTATTCAGATAAGTGCAACTTCATGAGAAAAATAAAGCAATATTGTTGAGAGAACAAGATGTTTCTGATCAGCGAGGCGGACACAGCTGGGCCACTCCTATAAAAGTGCTATCGCTGTGCAAGTGCAGATGGTGTCACTGCAGTAAATTGTGAGCTGTGTTTCTTTGAATTTTAAATGAACAAATAAACATATGCAACAATGCCCTGACACTGACAAAGCACATATTTAGAAATCCGCTTCCTGTACTTTTAGAACAGTTTTTAAAAAAGTTTTTCCAAACGGTATGTAAACTTTCAAATTCCACAGTATCCGTGGAAATATCTGTGAGCCAATCCTCTTTTTCTAGACATTCAAACTAACTGGCCACGGACCGCTTGTACTTATTTCACTAAAATGTAAACGTGTACATCTAACAGAGGGAGAGGAATTGAAAGGTTAAAAAACAAAGTTTTCCCAATGTGAGACATGAAAGAAATTTCTAAATGCAGGATTTCCATTCTCATTTTTGAAGTATGACTGATGCTCTCTAATGAGGTCTCTGGTGTGTTGTGTTCTTCTCTCCTCAAATGGTTTGCGGGCTTCTGACTAAAGAATTAGTTGCACTGTTTTCTTGATTAGGCGGCTCCTAATATTCCTAATAATAATATTCATACAAACATGAGTAGATAATAAGAAAAACACTAATTTGCATTTTCTTTGGCCATTTTTCTCAGTCTCTCAAATGATTTTGTTATTATTATATTTCTCCTCGTAGTTTGTTTGTATTTTGTCAGAGTGAAACAAACAGATGTTTTATTTTTAACTGATTACATTTTATACTTTATATTCATTTATTTTATTGCTATGTACTAATATTTATATGTGTACTGTATATATGAACTAATATTGGATTGTTTCTAAAATGACGCCTCCCTAGTGGTAGCCTGCTGTTACAGCTGCTAACTCCTGCTACTTTACTGTTTCTTCTCTCCCAACAATTGCCTTTTGCAATGTTCAAATCTGTTGTTCTTAGTTTTATTCGTTTTACTCTCACATTTATGTGAGAGTATGCTGAGCGAAGGGAGAAATTCACCTTGTTTACATGTGAATTTCAATTCATAATAATTTGTGAATTGACCAATAACAGCTGTGCAATGAGATCAGAAACACACAACAAATATTAATGACCACAGAGGGCTACTCCGTTGTGTAACCTGACTCCTTCCTGCTGCAGACGCACACTGATGCAGCATCTCTGATCCACAGCAGTGAATTCATTTGTTTATACACAGTGTCTTTCTACTGTTGTTGTCAGGACACGTTAGCTACGCTCGGTGTCGCACACTCTTGTTAGGACCATTAAAATATAACCAAATAAAAATTGACAGCGGCGAACCATGGCATATTTTCATGCTGCTTTCAATCAAAGACATGGATTTCGAAGTATAATGAGATTTAGTCAAATAAAATATTAGTCTGTCAAATGCCTGTCACTTCAAAGGTTGCGGGCCATGTTTTGTATGATTTGTCAGACAGGCGTCGGCATATTAAAACTTCACTCATTTCCATTTTTCAAACCACATGTGGCAGATTGTGAAAGAGTTGCATTTTTCAATTGTCTCAGAGTTACAGCCACGACAATTGACAAGCTGCGAAAGGACGAATCCAACTGCAAATGCACTTTGTATTTTTAAGATAAATGGAATGCAGTACTACGGCCAGATTGGCGTCTTGTAGACTTCTCAAACTGCTCCCTTCTCTATAGATTATTCACTGAAGAATGTGTGAAGATGAACAAGAACAACAGAGGGGTGAGAAGGAGGAGAAGATGACAGTGAAGATGAAGAAATACTAGCAGGTGAAGGTGATAAGCGAGGAAGAAGTAGTGGAACTATTGGCATGGAAACCAAGACAGAACTGGAGAGAAAGTATCTTGCTAAAGAACACATCAGCATATAGACTAGAGCAGTCTATATAGGCTGAAACAGCAACCTTCCAATTTGAAAATCATCTGCCCTACTTACACAAAAAATAATACAAAATCTACTAAATATTACGCTATTTTTAGGAATAATTAATGACACACAAAGTTATACTTAAAAAATCGAATCCCATCTTTCTTAGTTACTTTAATGTTAGCGCAGCAGTAACCCTGACAGACACCCCAGCCTGGTATACTGTATGCTAATGTGGTTTCACCTCAGCACAGACACCAGAGCTAACTTTAGCAACAACCTTCCTGGTGCTGGCAGATGGCGAAGCCGCCACAACAACAGAACAGACGACGAGGTTTTCAACAAGAAAAAGTTTCTAATATATTGAAGATAAATAGCTGTAATTAATTTGTGAGTTTGCGCTGAACTGTAAATGAAGGAGAAGGATGAGAAGTGCTTCAATAAAGATAATTGGACTATAAGGTGAGAAATAGTCTTTCAGTTAACATGTTTGTCTATACATTGATTCAGTTGTCATCCAAAATGACTTAATAATTCATTTTTATATTGATTTGTGGAAATAAATTCATTATAAAGCCTCTGAGGGTGTGTTTTCATTTTAACAGCATCCAAACACTACTTATTACACCAATATTTACCGGGGAAATATGCTGACCTAAGCACTATCTTCTCACCTGAAGCCAAACTTGTCCATGGCGATGGCAAAGTGCCTGGGCTGGTCGTAGCAGTGGTAGAGGTTGCGGTCGTCCATGGGGATCAGGTCCACGTCACTGAAGATAAAGCAGTCGTACTCTGCATCCTTCAGAGCCTCGGTGTAGCCAACGTTCAACAGTTTGGCACGGTTAAAGGTGTCCTCACCCAACTGCAAATACAGGCACAAACACATTACCTTACAAACAAACATAGTACGGTCATTGGGTATATTCTAAATCAAATCTTTAAAGTGTACTCAAAGCTGGTTGGACTCTCGCAGACGTCGCCATGAGCAATAAATCAGGACTTTTACTTCCCAAAGATGAAAGGACAGATTTCATTTGAAATTTATCACCAGCTCGTGCACCTGGCTGTGGACGACAAAGAAATATCCCTCAGTTGAACAGCTGTCACCACTAAATTAAAATAGTTTGTAGCATCTCAGACCAGGATCTAGTGTCTGTAGCTCCGGTCTGTATTTATCTCAGCATGTCGTTGGAGCAGATGTAAAGGACCATCGATCTCAGAGCAGCTGACAGCAGGAGTGGACTCTGGGATTTTCAGGCTGCGCAGCTCAGGTTCAACTCTCTGGTTATAAATGCATTGACGTCAGGCTGCAGAACAGCGTAAGAATACATGACAGTTCTAATTCCAGTCAAGTTTAACATACAGTCTTATTCTGCAACAGCTCGGTGAAACCCAACTCTGTGTTATGGTGCAGATCAGGTTGTTAGTTGTGACGTAAATCAACCATAAAGCCTGATAAAAAAAAAAAAAAAACTGTGTATATGACTGTTTGTACAATGGAATCAGGCAATTCTGCAGCTGTTTAATCCAAAGGCTGTAAGAGCCGAGGGATCCAACGTGATGCGATTACAGAGTTACGGTGATGACACTCAACTCTGGTCCGAAGCTTTAGTTCTGACATCATGAATAAACTGACCAGTGGAAAAATACCACCATGGCCTACTAGTACTGGGATTGGCCACAACTCACCCCCCAAACACCTAACAAGATCCAGAAGATCAGAAGAGAAGAACAGAACCATGACAATAGTGAGATTAAAGGTAATAAACAAGTCAATTATTGTGTTTAAAACCACCGTCTCTCTTTGCTGGTGTATGACCCAGGCTTTTGTGTTTGTTTTGTATCTGTTTAGACTGACCATGATTCAAGTACTGGCGAATGTGTAATTCCTCTGCTAAATCTACTTACTCCTGAGATATGAGAGCATAATCTCCTGTGCAGAACAAAGAAATCTATAAGCCCACGCCCCCTGGGTGTCCGAATGACGTCCAACAGTTGGTTTGGTGCGTTGGTGATGAAACAATAAATAATACGTGAGGGTGGAAAATAAGGAATGACGTCTGTGAAATTAATGCTGAAAGACACAAAGTAATGTTGAAATGAAGTGGCACGTTTAAGTGACATCAATTCCAGTCTCTCTACATGCAGCTTTATTTGCTGGTCTATTTAATTGTTTTCTCTGTCTGTCGGCATTTCCTGGAGGAACATCTGCATGATTGATTGCCGATGATTTGGCTGTGTAAGAAATTGTGTAAAAACCAGCGTCTCGTTTGTTGTTATGTGACAAACTGCTCAGGCTTTTCATCCACAAAAGTCTGATATAATCTGAACGTGTGACTTTGCATGTTAACCTGTGTGTGGTCTCCATCCAGTAACATGAAAATTTATTTGACCTTAGTGACCGCAGCAGGAGAAAAAAATAAGACTCATAATTCTTCTCCGTATGTCGATGACATGTTCGTGGATGGTGTTGCTCCTCACAGCGTATATTTCTATTACGTTTTCAAGCATCAGATTAAAAGTAGTCTAACATTCATATGAATGTGGATTCTCTGCATCTGGGAGCTCCAGATGGCAGGGTCAGAGTTTGACGTTAGCAGCATGGATACATGGATCTAACTTGTCATGCCATGTCAACACTCCAGGCTGATGTTAGTGTAACGATCCCTCTGCTTAGCCTTTAAAGTTGTCATGCCTCACGTCATCAATCATGTTTTGCAAATGACATATAATGATTTTCTCTGACCACGGCACAGTGATGTCCAAACTTCCTGTAGATTAGTGGATATGAGCGCTGTAGTTCAGCATGGTCATGTGACTCCACTTGAACGACATCTCAAAGAGAACAATGCGAACATTGTTGTCCTTCTCAAATAATAAAGTGAAGAAAAAGAAATCCGACTGAGACCAAAGCAATCAAACTAAAAACAAAGTTTTATGATTCAAGGGGAGAAAATAAATCAAATAAACATTTTTCCTACACTTTGACAGAATCCATTTATTCTGCCTTTTATATACTGTTATGTTTAGACGTCTAATACAGAGTTCTTACAATACAGAAGAGAGCAGCAGGTTACTTACTATCAATCTTAATAGAATATTTTTCCTTTCCTGCAGGTTCAGTTTTACTTCACCATGTAGCAACAGTATTTGTTAGCGTATGGGGACGAGCGGTTATTACTCTTGCCTTCCTACAGGAACTTGTTTGAGCACCAGCTTTCACTTGTACATCCCTTTTTCTCAGAATTTTTACAGTGTAAATGTATATATTTTTCATTCATTTTGACTTTTTTTTTTCATAACACAACATGAACTGTAGTATCACCTCTGTGACCTCTCTGGGCTGCATCCTCATTTTTAATTCAATATGAGACTTGGAGGAATAAGCAGGAAACGGTCGGTGTTAATAAAGTTACTGTGACAGTGTTTTGGATGAACTCAGTTTCCTTCTGCCAGCTGTATTTTTAACGCTTCTAACCTAATATTGTTTCAGGCTGATATTTCTGGTCCAGATCCCACTTACAAACCCCTCCCCCCTCACATCAGCCTCACTTCATCCACAGTGGACCATAGTAGACGCTCCTATAGAAATCATTCAAGTGTGAACGTTTCTATAAGCAACACGCCGGGGATTTGGGAGGAGGATGAAACTGGGCTGTTTTTCATTTCATTTTCTAAAATAAATTTAAAAAAAGTCTCACCCTCCACAGTACATGTGAGCAGGCACATTAGGTCTTGTGCAAATTATCATCTCCCCTATAGAATCCATCCATTTTAAATTGAAATGCCAGGTGACACATATGTAGCTACAAAACTAAAAACAAACAAACAAAAAAAAAAGAACGAGATGAATAATAGCACTATTGCTAATAGCTGAGCTTTTCAAATTGTTTCTTGGCAAATGTTCACCACATAAATAATCCTAAACAGAGCAGGTTGACACTGACTGTTTTTTTCATTTATTAGCCGCTACACTGAACCAATCTTGGTTCAGATTGATTTTGAATAGCAAGTTTGCCATGCTTAATTATTTACCAGAGAACAGATGGCACTGGAACTGCAGACTTGGATATCACTTCCAGTCGCAGTATTTTGACTGCGATATCATGACAATGATAAAAGCGATCTTTCTCACTGGGACCTTGGGAAGATTTATTTCTACAATTAGAAATGAAAAATGTTCTTTATGATTAATTATTAAAATCATTACATTACATTGTAAATTACAAATAAATGTCAAATACTCGTTACTTGTTTTGTCCCTCATTTTCCTCCATCTCTGACTGTGACTTTTTATATTCTGAAACATTTTTACTGCCATCTTTTGGCTATTCATAATTCACTTTTTGCAACCAAAATTAGTGAAAAAATTAATATTAGGACGACAAGATGATCACAATGAACTCATTACACCAGTGTTACACACAATAACAGGAGAAAACTCTATAGTTTGCTATAGAGACGACACTTTGGCTTAGTGATCCCATTCATAGTAAATGTTTAGTCATAGATATGGGTCAGAGTAAAAGTAATGTTATGTGAGTGGTGGGACATCGGGGTCATCTACAAAGTCTTTAGAGAAACTGCTGTCTACTGTGGAGGGTGGGGTGGGCTTGGGGGTCTCAGGTGGACCTTTTTTATTGACCTGGTGAGGTACAATGCTGAGGTCGAGGGTCTTATATTTGCTGGGGTCAACTTCAAGGAGTTCAAGAACGTTGTTTTTTTCCCTAATGTCCTTAGACGAAGTCTTGTTTTGAACTGAACACTTTTTGTTTGGATACAAGAGGGGTTTTGAACCTTTGACCTCATCATTGGCCCTTGGCATGGTGAGGACCAAGTGACCAGAGGTTTGAGACCGCTGAGCCACTGCGCTGTCGGGCTTCACTTCATTAGGCAACACCATCTGAAATATTTTTCCTTTAACTCCAACTTTGACGTACGTTGGCTGAACATCCACGTCCAGCAGGGTGGTGTCCATGTGCCTGAAGACGGCCAGGTCTAGCACAATGCTGTTGTTTTCTTCATCCTCAGTGAGAGTAAAATCCAGTTTGGCCTCATTAACGTTCATGACTCGCCCATCAGTGTGAATCAGTCTCCTCGGAGGCTTCGGCTTCTTCTCCTTTACCTTCTCCTCCGCCCTCCTGTTCTCCTCCAGGTGGCGATGAGCCTCTAGACGAGATTCGGGGGTAAAGGAACATGGTGTGTTCCAGAACTCCAGCTCCTTCTGTTCTTCACTCAAGTGGCACCGTGTCTTCACTTCATTTATGTGCTCCTCCACTTCCTGGTTTTTCAATTCTCCACAGCCGACTGTCCTCTGCCCATTTTCTTCCTCCTTAGCAGCAGTTCTCGTCTCTGCTTCTTCTTTCTCCACTGCTCTCTTTTTTAAATATTCCTTCTCCTGCTCTGCCACGTGTCTCTGCACCTCCTCCAGACCTTGAGATGACAGAATCCTTTCCGAGCGTCTGATGTCCTTGCCATCGAGCCTTTTCAACTGAGGCAGCGAGGCCACCACATACTGCCTGTAGCCCTTGAACTCAGCACAAGGGTTCCCGACCAGAAACAGCTCTCTGAAGTGGATGTTGTCTCTAAGGGACTGGACGCTACTGAGACAACCGATAAAGTTTATCGTCAAGTCCAACTTCTGGAGACTCTCACAGGCTTCAAGGTTTTCAATGACTTCGATGTTGTTTAAAGCCAAATTTATATACTGCAGCTTCTTCAGGCGACTGACATTTTCAATTCTTGGTATGAGGTTGTTCTGCAGGTAGAGGATCTTCAGTTCCTTGCACCACTTGTCGAGGTGTTCAATCTGTGTGATGTCCAGCTGATGCAGAGACACTTCCTCCAACGAGAAGATCTCGCAGTCATTGTGTTCTGCTCGCTGGCGAACCATCTCTTCTGTGATGTGAACCATTTTCTTTTTCTTTTATTTTTTCATCTGAAACTTGGATCCCAGATCTTTGTTGTTAGTTGGCGACAGGTAGCGACTTCTTCTGTTTCTGTCTCCTCCTTCTTTTCATGCAAATATAAATTTAAATTGACAACATTTCCATCAAGTGTCACTTTTTTTGTTCTAAATTGCCATTACAGCAATTTGCATGTTTACCTCTCTTCTTATTCTCTTTGACTCATTGCCGTATTTGGCTAATGGTGGTGTTTTATGACAAGAAGCATCACTGACAATGAATCCCCCAATAATATATTTATTTCTAGGCCCAACAAATTGGTATCGTGTTTAAACATCTCTGTCTGAAGTCTTTGAACTTTAGAGACTGGTCAAACGTGATAAAAGGACAATAAACATTAAAGGAATAGTGGCCAGCAGAGGGACTGCAGATGGAATTAAAGTGAACAGCTGACTGGTTATTGTTACATACAGTACAAACATCAGGACGTTATTTCTCCACAGTAGAACTTACTAAACCATTTAATGCTTCACTTGACACAGCGCCCACACCCCCTTCTGTTTTTCCCAGCATTCTCTGCTCTGTCCCTCAGAGTTCTTCCCTGGTCTCCCCAGTAATCTGGTCAGTCCCGAGTCTCTCCCGCAGCATGCACTCTAAAAACCAATTAACCCCACGAGCCATATCTGAGTATCACCAGATAAGTCCATCCCTGCTCCCTCTGCGTGTCTGTGTGTGTCATGTGATAAAGCCAGGATATAACTTTCTTCACGGTACACAACCACACACACTGGTATCCACATAATCTCTCACAATAAACCTGGAATGTTGCCATGGAGACAGATTAGGGCCCTGACACATGACAGTGTGTCGGTGTGTGCATTTCAGTGCGTTGTGCCTGTGTGTGTGTGTGTGTGTGTGTGTGACACAGGACTTATCAGTCTCCTGCAGATCGACAGAGCCAGGGCTTCTGGTCCTATCAGTTGGCCAGTCAGTCAGTCAGAGCGGGGACTGTATATGCAGACCACGGCAGATAAGGAGAGATTTTCCCTTATCCCACTAAATGGATCGCGAGTTGAGTGATTTGTTTCCTCCCGATGAGCAAAATGTATACTGAAAATGGATCTGCTAGTTAGCTTAGAGCTGCAAGGTGGTACAGAGGGTGCTGGTCCGTTGGACATTTCTACTCCTGATGACCACTGAAGCACCACAGGTTTTCTAATTTTGTTAAGATAAAGTCTAGAGTCCCAAACACTGCAACATCTAAAGATTCAGAGCCAACCTCTGTGAGTTTAGGTTGCCTAAAAGCAAAAACATTTGGTTGGTCCTTCCTTTTCCTTCTCTACATGCAGCCCTGAGATGAGATGACAACCTGTCCGTGGCGTGACCTGCCATTTAGCAAACGTCAAGTCTGATTCTCTCCACCTCTCGCCATGACACTGACAGAGATAAAGTTTTAATGGACGCATGAAAGCACAGGGATTTCTATTTCTCATGTAAGCTGTCAGCCATGTTTGACATTCAACCTACTTATCCAATCGTCACTCCACCATAGTTGATATTCACAATTTTCTAATAAATACTAATTGCTTTTCTGCATTGTATTTTTTTATTTCATTGCTCATTATGTTAATATGTTTGATCTGCTCTGTCTAACTGCTCCCTGGTAATGAGTTAAGTTTGTTTTTAATCGAAGTGAAAATAGAATAAATACTGCTTACATGCTCTGCTGCTGTACACACACACCTAAGCATAGGAAAACGTAGCAAAAATTAAACTCAAATATAAAATTACATTTTAGTTCAATGTAAAACTCTGTAGGTGTAGTGGTTCTCAACCTAGGGTACGCAAACCACTTTATCACTCAATTTACTAACGGAACCTAAAGTGCTGTAAAGTAAATCGAACACAATGTTTAAAGCATCACAAGCAGCCGTTAAAATGTCCGTGAGGTTGTTTTTGTGATTTCAGTTTTCAACTTTTGGCATCAGATGCTGTTACTTTTTTTAAAGAGAATAATTAAATACTGTAAAACACTAGCATCCAAAATGCTCTGCTTTTCCATCAGTTTCAGTCTTTGATACTTTTGTACTCAAATCAAAACAACATTACATCGCTGTTGTCTTTTATTGATCAGATAAGAGGCAAAGTGCCAGTTTGGCTATTAGGCTGAGAAGAGACGAGCCTGATTCGTTCTTTGCTAAATGTGCTTGGTTTGTGAAAATTTTATGAATAGCAGGTAGTCAAGGTCGTCAATAGCGCTGTGGGTCGATTCATTCATTCATAACTACCAGTTGTTGATAGTTACCCAATAGTTAAGCCTGAAATTTCCATCTGTCCTATCCTCAGGATGTGTGATCAGGAGCCTTAGGCAGATACAGACATAAATTACCCTCAAGCAAGTTTCCATGGTTTACATGGAAGAAAACACTTGAGTCGAACAGACAGCAAAACTTCAAGAAGACTTTACTTTAAGGAGAGCAGTCTAGGTTTATTAGAAAAGGATGAAGAGAGCCACGGTGTTGATTAGAGCTTGTGTTACCGTTTGTGACAAAATGCACTTGTCCCTGTGTTTTTAATGAAAGATGATGATGGTGATGATGATGATGCCTCCATTCTTTCGCCACCTGGGAAACTGGAGGCTCATCAAAGCTTGATTAGATACCACAGCCTGCTCTGCACACACAGGCATATCAATAAAGACACACACACACACACATACACACACAGGGCTATGTATATTTAATTCATGAATTTACAGTATTCAATCATATTGGCAGCAGCTTGGATTGAGTTTTATGAGCGCCTGGTACACTGAGCACCAAGAGTGAGGAGGGGGAGTGTGACAGGGATGGCCTGGCTCCAGAATAACTAATTTGCTCTAATGACTTCCTGGCAGACTGGGCACAGAAGAGCTCCCAGGCCACGACAGGCAACTCAGTTGCTACTCTGTGTCAGTGTAGACAGTGTAGCTGCAGATCAAGGCAACATCAACTTAACTGCTGCTGATGGTGCTCTGCTCTGCTGAAACACTGAAGCAGGTAATTTGTTGTGAATAACTGAACACATGACAGCACTGTAATAAATACTACACTGGAGCTTGTGTTTTATTAGGAGTCTGAAGTGAGACGTCCTGGAGGAAATAAGTGAAAAGTTCAGAACGACGAAAGAAAATGATGAAACAGCAGAATCGTCACCTCCACTGTTCGTGTGGAGTTATCACTGCACTCGCTTTTTCAGTTTGCCAACATTTGGGATATGGGATTTATATGCATTTACAATTGCAATCAATCACGACAGAAAACTAATTTCTTTATAATCAACTGTTTAACCCTCTTCAAGGCCAAGAGGAAGCTGCCGACACTTGAACGGATGGTTTGGTAAAATTGTAGGTACAATCAACCCTAAATGTTAAATGGTTTGGTAAAATTGTAGGTACAATCCAGTTAAAATCAACCCTAAATGTTACTGCATTTGGTGAACTGACACAGCAGAATTTTCTCATTTGTTACGAGATATAAAGCAGAGTGAGGTTAATCTTTAGTCGAAGCCGGTGAGACTAAAACCAAGTCGTTATAGAATTTTACATCCAATGCAAAAGCTCATAGAAGTCAATTTTTAAAGCAATAAAATGCATTCATGAGTCGTTGTGTTCTCATCACAAGTGATTTTGTTGGACTAAATAAAAAGGATATAAAAAACAACCAATAACACAGACCTGCTAACCATTTACTGTTTCGATAAAACCAGTGGTTGTCAAATGTCACTGTTTGTCAGTAGGTGTAGCAGTAGACCAGGAACTTTTTGTACCAGTACAAACTTGTCAAGACCAGAACCTCCTCAAATGTCATAATGCACGCACAAACATTACAGGAACAAACACACGGAGCTGGTTTTCACCGTGCACGTCCCTCAAACCTGCAGCTCCCTCTCATCAGATGACTCATCTTTCCCCATTTCCCATCAGGACCAATATGGGACACCATCTGCCTCACCCTAATAATGACAGAGCCTTCTCCAATTCCCCCCATCACTTTGAGATATTACTACAGTGTGTGTGTGTGTGTGTGTGAGAGAGAGAGAGATTGAGAGTGAGAGAGAGAGAACGCTCCAGCAAATTAAGAATGAGATATTTCCCAATCTCACCGGAAGAATCAGGAAACATTTGTGTTCTGCAGCCTGTGTGTAATAAGAGATGGAGATATGACAGACCAATAATGGCATCATGACTCTTTCGCTGATACTTATTTTCTCTGAGACTATGTCGGCACAGGAAGACTAATTTGTTGAAGCAATTTCCTATTAAACTTCCTATAAAACTCCAGTTCCTGTTTGCAGTCAAACACACTGAGGGCAGTGAACGAGTCCAGCGCAGGTATTGGATTTGACCAGGAGGAGGATCAATGTCTGTATATATTAATATTTTATACGTTAAATAATTAAATCATTAGACTGAATATATATATAATAAATAACACAGAATCCTGGTCTGGACTGAAGTGTGAGAAGACTGGGACACCACAATACAAAACACTAGACATCTCTAAACTAGTTTTAGTCACAGCAGCCATTGATGCAGCTTTTTTACTATAATAATTCTATTTTTTTTTGTCTTTGTCAGTGATGAGAAAATCATTCACTCCACTCTAACTGCACAGCACTGACAACAGAGAAGCTCAGAAGACTGAGAAACATAAATCAGACTTTTTTAGTGAACGTTTCCAAGATATGATTGACCTTGCGATCTGTATTGAGACGTTACAAATTATTTATAGCCACGGCGAGCAGAGGTCAACAGTGCGGCCATTCTGAGGATTATAGGTCTGCAAGCACCGCATCAGTACAGATAAATTGTGGACATCGTTGGGTGATAAAATATGTCTTTGGCGTGGATCTGTGAGTCTTTCTGAAGGACACCTCCTGGCTGAATACTGCATATGATATGGAGCATGTAGACTGGATCATAAAAATGTATACACACTGGATAGTTTCAGCTGAGTAATGTGATTCGCCCAAGTTACTGACTGACTGCCTTAAAAAGTCCACAGGTTTATTATTCCTTTTTTGTTCGGATTCAAAAATCTCAAATCATTATATTAAAATATTCTTTATAGATATAGAACTGTAGACTGACCAAAGTACACAGTGACCATTACAATGTGCTTCATGGAGGAGCACAGGCCTCAACTGCAGACTAACAAATGAGAGGAGACGTGTAATTCTGTCATCTAACCAAGGACAAATGCCAGCAGTTTGTCCTTGCTGTGGTCAGCACAGCACTGAGACAGGACGGATAAAGAGTTCACGCTGTCCTATAATTTATCCATTTTGCTGAAAGGACCTGAGCCTGAAGGTAAGGACAGACGGTCCACTACTCCTTCCATCAAAAAAGTCACACAGTAGTTCAAACATTAAACTATCAAGAAGCCCGAAAAGTTACTTCACGACATCAAGTGGGATTATAATGTGATAATTACCTGGATGAACAAAAGTCATCAGGCTCAGAACCATTAGCCAAATGACTCCAACATCAGTCCAAATATTCACTTCATAACCAACACCACCATCAGGCAGAATTGTCCTGCTGTTGAAGTGCAGTGGCTGCAGATAAAATACAATTACACCCACCATCAAGAGTTTGCCCCAGACCACTGAGCTCTGAGACAGACAATAGTTCACAGCCAGTGAGCTAACCTGCACTGCTGTGAAACAGAGAAGACAACAGTCGAAGGACGGGGAGACAGAAGAAACAAAAAACCACACACACCTGTCAACAGTGAATGCTCGAACCTGTGTATTACATTTCAACTGTTCACGCTTGCGTTCGAGGAGGAGAAGGAGACAGAGGAGCAAACGCTCACCACTTGACTCAAACTGCACAAAACACAGGAACATAAAATGATGCAACCTGAGAGGCTCAAACTGCAGCTGTGGTGTTTTACCGTAGTTGACATCTGTAATGTTGCATAACGGCTGGATTTTCCTTTCCGTACCTTTGAGACTTTCATTTTCTAAATGAAAGTGAGAGACTTTTAAAAGGTACATATTCTGTAGATGTAAAAAGTTAAATTTAATATTTAAAGACCCCAGTTTATAATATAACTAATATTATTGTTATTATTATTATTGCAGATGCTGTTGTTGTTCTTCCATTTCAAAGCCTGAGCATTACACTCTTCAAAACTAATGTTTTCATGCTTTTGTTTTTGTGGCAATAATTATTAATTATTAATGTCAACCCAGATAAAAAATGTTTGTTGTTTGTGCACCTCGTACCTCTCAGCTGGACCACAGGTGGTCGACTTTTCTAAACCTTGGTCTCGTTGTCAGGTTTCTCCAGGAGAATCCTTCACATTAGTTTAAAGTTGAACACAAAGGCAAAAGCACAAAGAGAATAGTGAGTCCTACACTCCTGAGCTGTGTTTCAATGAACGAAAAAAGAAGAAAAGATTCCTGAAAAGGAAAGTTACCGCCTGTCCTTTACATACTCAAAACCATCTTATTACTGCTCAGTACAGCGGCTGAGCGTTCCGTCCTCATCTGATCATGGTTAACAGACCACAGAAGAGCAGGAGGAAGAAGAAGAAGAAAATAATGCGTCTAATCAAAGACCCACTGTGTTCAATCAACACCTCACCACCACTGTCTCCACACACTGCAATTATGACACGGTTATTGTCTTGAAACCCATTCTATTGTGCAGGTGTTGGTGTCACTGCTTCCTCACCCTGCAGATTAAAACAAGGCCAGGGGAGAATAATCAAGCACATCCCCCGCAGCACAGACCGCCGTGGGCTTCACTGTCACTT